CCCGGGTTGTATAGTGCTCTTGGTGCGGATGGTGCTCGTCTTGTTGTCACCTCCAGTCAGCTCGTACCTCCCTGCCCTGCTCTCCTTCTGCCGCAGTTGCTCCCGTGCCGCTGGTGTGAGCACATCGGTCGACTTTGCTCTCTCCAACTTCCTCTCGTTGTGTTTGCGGCCGTGCCAGTCGTAGACGCTGCAAACCAGCGGGGTGATTGGCAGCTTCCGAATGGGAACAAGTGCGCTGTTGACTTGTTCCGTCGCATTGCTCGTGAAGATGCCAAACCGCCGACTAGTGGCCAAGGTTGATCCCCCTGATGTATTTTGACCCACGGAAATTGCACTTGTAGCAGGTTCGGACTCGTGTGGTAAGGTCTCGTCCCACCACCGCTCGTCCAAGTCCGCCCGAGGGCACTTCCCACTCAGCTTGGTTTGCAACGTTATCCGGGTCATCCTCTTCCTCGTCGCCGCATTCGTCCTCCTCTTCACCCGCCCCCTCGACCGGCGCTTCGACTGGTGGGTCGGCTCCATTGGTGTCCAGCCATTGGTGCTGCAGGGTCACCAGTACGAGCTCTTAGGCGGTGCCCGCCACCGGGGGGGGGGGGGTCGTGCACTCCTGCAGGATGGCTGCACTCCTGTGCGGTCCAGAATGGTCGGGAGGTTGAAGGGTCTTGCACGCTCAAGGGCCACCGAGAGCTGCACTACAGAATCGTGGGGGACATTTGCGGATGCTGCACGGGCGCGCAACCAGCAAAGTGGGACGTCCGTGTCCTCGTCATCGGAGACATGCGGGCTAGTGCCCACGGCCACATCCTCCATTTCCATCGCTGCAGACCCGCAGTCGTTGGCCTCCCCCGCAGACGGACGCGCCGATGGACTGGCAGGTGCTCCCCCACGCCCACCATGACCACCCCTGCCTCTGCCCCCCCTTCGCCCTCCTCGCCCACCACGTGGTGGGCGCCCCAACCCTTGGGCCGCCCGCTGCTGCTTCTTCGCAGCTCTCCGCCAGGCAAATGATGCTGCCCTGGCTTCCTCAGCCATTCGAGGTGCTGCGTTGTCGTCCCCTGCGTCTTCCCCGTCTGCAGCTGTTGTGGCAGGCTCATGCTCGAGGCCAAGCAAGTACTCCGCCATTTCCGAGTAATCCTGATGGCACTTCCTAACCAGGTTCTCCCATTTAAAGTTGTCGCCTTTCCTGCACTTCACAAGCTTCCAGTAGAATAGCCTCGCCTCCTCCCCGAACTTCTGAATGTTCTGTTGCAGGTGCCATGCACAAAAGTAGTGCGGGATCCTGGGCGGCAGAATGTCGCGAGCAGCGGGGATAAGCCCCTTATCGCGGTCGCTGATGATGGCGGCGTCATCCCTGTGGGGCCACTCAGGGAAGCTCCACAGGAGGTGCTGCAAGAACCAGCCCCAAGAGTCTTTGTTCTCAGATCCCACTAGCGCCCACTCCAGAATGTACACCTTCTGGTTACCGTCGACGATGACAACGATCAGGAGGGTTGCTCGCTGGGCACTGATGAGGAATGTGCCATCAAGGGAGATCACCGGCCGGCTGTAGTGCAGTGCTGTTCGCAAAGCGCTTGGCTGAATGTACATCCGGAAGAAACACCCGTCAACCAGCATGATGGTGACCCGCCCGTCGGGGTCAATGTCGCGAAACCTAGCAGCCACCCACGGCAACTTTCGGAACAACATGGGCCAATCGCTGAACATTTTTGCCTTGATGGCCTCAACAAGACGCCATGCCAGCTTGTAGTGGATGGTGTATCTGCCTTGAGTGGTAATCTGCATCTCAAAGTCTTTTGGAGATGCCAACGGAGCTCCACACACAAGATTACCCCTGCGTCGCTTCAGCACATCAAGACTGTTTGCCAGATCCGTCGCACCCTGCTCCTGCTTCGACTTGGGGCTCGTGTGCGCTGACGGCGGTGACAAAGTGATCACCTCCCACAAACCGCCATGCACGATTCTGGAGTAGCTGCACTCCCACATGTAAATGGTTGACGGGATATGCGCTTGCGCCTTGCATTGGATGATAACCGTAGATAACCATGCTCAAAAGCGTCGCAATCCCAAATAGTGCTAAACAATCCGTGTCGTCTGGAGCCTCGCGGTCCGGAGCTCGGCGCAGTGCTGTCTACATGTTCTCCAAAATAATATGTGCGAGCCATTCGTTGTCATCTGGCAAAAGTGCCATTGGAATTTGTTACTTGCTGGCAGGGGGCAGGGTGGTAGGTCGATTGCACCGTGAGAGTCCAAGTGAGAATGTATCACGGATGGGAGAAACCATTGTACAGGAGTTCCGTGGGATTCCCATGGAGGATCGATGGGAGTTCCGTGCAGGAAAAGAAACCCCACTGTTACCCGGATCTCGGTGTATTGCGACTGCCAGAAAAACCAAGACGCGAACTCCGAAATATTGCGCGGCAATACTGTGATACAGTGGCGGAAACAATTGTCTGTATGTTTTGCATAAATTTGGGTTTTCTGGCTTTCAGACCACTATACATTAAGCCTTAATATTTAATGGTGGTACGATTTGGGAGGGGCACATAGTGGATGTGTTCATAGCACAAATATCCAGAATAGTACATTGGATCTAACTCATATCCCAAAAGATATACAAAGGGTGCATTCGGACAAATAGTTCCAAGCAGGGTGAGCAAACTTCAAAAGTGTGTTTCTAGTTCCTAGCCCACTGAAATTCAGCCTTGATCACCGCCCGCACCCTCCTAGGCAAGGTGTCGATGAGGCTAGAGCAAACCTCGGCATGGATCTTCTCCCATTCTTCTTGGACCAGCTCTTAAAGCTCTAGCATTCCAGACGAAGGCCCTTTCTGCTTGGCTAGCTCCCTTTTCAGGTAAGCCCAGAGGTTGAGGTTTGATGAGAAAGAAGGCCACTCCTGGGCTACATACTCATGCTCCAAGTCATTCATGCACTAGGCATAACAAATTCTTGGGGTCATTGTCCGCACCGAGATGACCTCAGAGGGGAAAATGCTATAGAAATGGAGGGTCAATTCGAGTTCGTCATGCAAAATGCCCTCATACAGGGGCCTCTCCATGCATCCGTCAATCTTGCGTATGAACCCCACCCCTGCACATGTTACACATCCCCACACAATCACCGATCCTTGTCACCATGGTTTGCTGTCTGTTTGATTTGGTGGTGTTGCAGGGTTGTGCCTTCATGAATCCAGGCAAATGCGTGGCCATAGGAGCTGAAGCAGTTGATATTGGTCCCATTTGACCAGATCACATGCTTTCGGACACTAATTGTCCACTCAGCATGCAACTCCACGATTTGCAGCCGGCCCTTGATAATTCTCCATAATAGTCATGGCTTCTATGACTGGTGCACTGTGATTTGACCCCCATACCCTAGTGTGTTTTTAATGGTGCAAGGGTGCACAGTCAACCGTGCAACGTTACCATCAATTGCGTGGTGTCTACGCTAGATTTGGCCACTCTATTCGTGATTTTACCCTACAATGGTACGATGAAGACGACCCGTGATAAGATGGGGCCGATCGGCTAATTGCATCATTGGCCACACCTCAGCATGGCTAGTCTCAAAGATACCATTCAATCCAAATTCGTCCACAATACTCTTGCCTACACCCAAATTTTTCACGATTTTCCTGATGCTCACCCCCTGATGCTAAATGGTGGGTCCAGGAAGAATGCAAGAAGTTCCTGCCGAGGTTTGTACTAACCTCATAGGTAACATGCCTAGGAGGGTGCGGGTGGTGATCAAGGCCAAAGGTTAGTGGGCTATGTACGAAATACGCAATTTTGAAGTTTGCTCTTTCTGCTTGGAAATATTTGTCAGGATGTACGCTTTGTATGTCTTTCAGGATATGAGTTAGATCCAATGTACTATTCTGGATATTTGTACTATAAATACATCCACTATGTACCCCTCCCAAATCATACCACCATTAAACATTAAGGCTTAATGTGTAGTGGTCTTAAAGCCTAAAAACCCAAAAATGATGTAAAACATACGGACAAATGTTTCCGCCACTGCATTTTTTGAGCCAATTGACAGGGCGCTAATGCAACTTGGCAGCTCTATTGCAACAGTAAATGTTCGTTCGCATGCGCAATCGTATCGTGAATCCAGCTTTTGGACGAACCCCAAACTAAAAAAACCAGTCGTGGCCTGAAATTTTTTACAAACAGCACAGCCGAACACTACACCCCTAGGTTAGTCTATGTGGTTTCTTAAACAATCCTAAAGGAATCGGGGTCGAAGCCCAGTAAGGGTAGCGGATTGTGTACTGCGAAAGGAATTCGTGACGCAATTCACCTTTTGTCATTCCCTCGCTGTAAGCATTGCGACTATTATCCAAATTCGCATCTTGGGCTGCAGTTACACTACAACATAGCTGTTAGATCATTTCGTGGGCTGCAAAATGGCGGCAAGGATTGTATTGTGTCGTGGTGTCTGCCGATTCTAATAGTGAAAAGGTGCACAGTCGACCATGTTATGTAATCCTAAGTTTCGCGACGGATATGCTAGTTTCGCCACTCTTTTCGTAATTTTACCCTACAACGGTACGACGAAGACGACCCATGAAAAGACGGGACCAATCGGCTAATGGCATATTTGGTCACACCTCAGCGTGGCTAGTCTAATAGATCACATTCAATCAGAAATCGTGCACAATACTCTTGCATATGTGCATATCCTTCACGATTTTCCTAGTGCCCACCCCTTACACAAAAGGGTGGGTCCAGGAAGAGTGCGAGAAGATCCCTGCAAATATTTGCACTAACCTCATAGATAACAGCAGCCACACTCTCCCACGCATGGCACCTGCAAAATCCGCCCATTTCACCTGCGAACTTCACCTGAATGTTTGACAACATTCACAACCATATTTCACTTGTTTCAATCTTGGTTAGTTTTACTTTCATTTTTCCTGCAACCTCCATTAGCCAAACATGTATGGGTCGAGAATAGTTCGACTCTCCTTCAATCGCTTGTTTGTATCGCTCATTCACAGTTCCTCCATCCCTCCCCCCCCCCCCCCCTCCCTCCCTCCCTCCCTCCCTCCCTCCCTCCCTCTCCCCCTCCCTCCCCCCCACCCTCCCTCCCTCCCTCCCTCCCCCCTTTCCCCCTCCCTCCCCCCTCCCACCCTCCTCCCCTCCCTCCATCCCTCCCTCTCTGTCCCTCTCTATCTATCCCTCACTCCCCTTCTATATCCCTCTCTCTCCCTCTCTGTCCCTCTCTCTCTCTCCGACAGGTTGAAGCTCGCGTCTATTGTCACACGCCTATCAAATTCATGTTATTGAAAGTAAGTTTTTGTCTGCATTGCCGCTTATAATGATTTTTGTTTTATTTCTGCATTCTGATGTGTAGTTCTTTCGTATGGTCATGCTTCAGGAATGCTTGGAAGAGGCTTTTGGTTTTCGACTGTAGGATTTAGTTGTAGATGATAGCTATAAGACGATCTTTTAATTGCTCTATCTAGAGCAGGCCCCATGATTGCTTTTAGGGTACCCTGATTGCTCAGTGTCCTGTTCCAAAAAAAAACTTTACATCAGCCTCCTCAAGAAAATTTACGCTCATTCAGTAGTGTTCCCTAGCCAAATCGCTTTTCCATCAGGGTTGCGTATGGAAGAAACGCTGATTCGGCAAAGAGAGTAAATTCGAATTTGATGCGAGGCCGACCTGAGGCCGAAGGAGCCGCAGGGTTAACATAACGAACTGCGGGTCTTGTGATTCTGACAGTCGTGCAGAAGCGAAAGTGAAAACAAAAATGAGTTGTGACCGTATGGCGATGGGAGTCGTAGATTGACGGGCGAAAAATGTGATGGGTCGGGAGTCAACTTATACATGTGCTGTGCATGTATAGTTAGGCTCGACAGGTTCGTGCTCTTAGAGAGTACAACCCAAACCCTTATAACACCCTGTATGATTTTGCTAGTACTCAATTTGTCATTCCAACATGGTATCATGCTAGATAGGTCCCACCCACCTGCGCTTCCACCCTAGCGTACCCTTAGAGTGTCCCGCACGTAGCGCGCTCCTGCCCTAGCGCACCGCGCCTGCCCTAGCTCGCCGCACTGGCCCTTAGCCCGCCGCGCTGGCCCCTAGCCCGCCGCGCTCGCCCCTAGACCGCTGCGCTGGCCCCTAGACTGCCATGCTGCCCCCTAGACCATCGCGCCGCCCCCTAGCCCGCGTCGCCCGCCCCCTAGCCCGCGGCGCCCGCCCCCTAGCCCGCGGCGCCCGGCCCCTAGCCGGCAAGGCCCGCCCCGAGCCCGCCACACTGGCAGCGGCCCGCCGCTCCGGCCCCGGCCCCAGCTCGCCGCGCCGCGCCGGCCCCGGCCTTGCCACGCCGGCCCCGGTCCCGCCGCGCCACCCCAGCTCCCAGCTCCGTCCCCTGCTTGCCACGCAGCCCTCAGCTCGCCACGCCGGCCCGAGCTCGCTGCCCTGGCCCCAGATCGTTGCGCCGCCACAGCTCGATGCCCCGATCCCAGCTCGCCGCGCTAGCCCCTGCTAGCCGCGCCGACCCCTGCACGCCGCTGGGCTCGGTTTCTCCTTTGCCTCGGGCCCCTCGCCGGCGGTCTGCTCTCCTGAGACTTCATCACAATCCACCGCACTCCACCGCACTCCACCACACTCCACCGCTCTCCACCACTTTTCTCCGCTCTCCCCCACTCTCCACCACACCCGCCTGCTCCCTGCTCCTCCTCCTGCGTTTTGCAGCTGCTGCAACTGTGCGTGATGGCGGACGCAGTGGGACGCATTTTGTGGACTTTGAGGCGTGGCTCGTTGACCTGCACCGCCAGCTGAAGGGTCAGCGCCAGGATGGCCAGTCTCTGGCCGTCCATGTTGACAGTAAGCTGCCCTGCCTCCCCACACCAGCTACCCTTGCTGACGCCGCCACGCCTGCTGAACGTGAGGCTTTGGCAGCTGTTGAGCTCGCTCGCTCTGTCTTGGAGTCCAGCGACGCCACTGCGCAGTTTGCTATCAGTCACACACTCCCGCTGTCCCGAGCGTCCTCGCTTGCAGGCCCTAGAGACGGCCAAGGAATACCTAGATGCATTCATTGCACGATATTCCACCCCCTCTTCCACCTCTACTGGCCGTCTCCTCCTACCCTGCCCTTCCCTGACCTTGCGTCCTTCCCCACTGTCGCTGACCTTGCCACTCATCTGCGCGCTCTTGAGGCTAGCTACCGTGCTGCTAGCACTAAGGCTCAGCTCACTATACTCACCCACCGCCCCCTTGGCGCTACCCTTTACTTCCTAGCCACGCGCATTCCCGACCACTTTGCCACTGCCGTGACATCTTCCTTTTTCCCCACTGCCCACAATAGAGGCCTGCCAGCACACTATTGCTTAGTCTACCGCACTATTCGCGTGAAGCATGAGATGTTATGGCTGTCGGCTACCTGGCAGACACCGTCAGTTTTCCCTTAGACCCGAGACAAAAAATTTCCTTCCTGGGGTCTTCACCCTAAACGTGAGGGTCAGAAACTCGCTGCGGAATTCACCCTCATCTCGGTTTTGATTCCCTCCCCCTTTCCCCCTCAGTTTCGATTCCGCCTCTCCCCCGTTTCGATATACTCCCCCTCAAATGAGCTGTGGGCAATGTGATTTTTTAGAGCTAGTAGTTTCACAATGTCTGGAAAATCAGAAGAAAACAAATTCAAGCTAGCCATAGACACGTCTGTATTGCTTCCTACTGCCAGCAAAGACCCTGCCTACTGCTCCCCATCCTCATAGGAATAAAATCGTCACTGCTGGAGAAGATACGGCAATTTGGGTATATACCTACGGTCGTTGTTGAAGACAACCCTGATCGCGTTCTGTGCACCCTGAGAATTCTAGGATTTTGAAATTCTCAGCACTAACAAATGAGGGCCCTCAGGGAAAAACAAAAATCGACAACTCAGGGATGGGGCTTTTTTTGAAATCAGCTTAGGATTGGTTTTCCCGTTACCCCATTTTAGCAACCACGCAAAAGTAGGGTATCAGCAGGGTTGCTGGTTGGGGGGGTTTGTGGGAGGATTTTTTATGGCTACAAGGGACTTAGCTGAGTTTTTTCTCGTCGTGGGAGGTGTGGGAGGGATGTTTCTCGCTGTGGGGACTTAATCAAATTTCTGAGTTGCGAGAGGTGTGGGGGTGAAATGTCCCTGGGCTGGAAGACTGAGCCAAATTGTTTTTGTTGCGACCTGGTGGGGGTGGGGGTTAGGGGGGGGGGGGATCATGCGCCAACCAAGGGGGAAACTCCGAAAGTCTTACAAGTGTTAGGTTCAGTATTGATCCCTATTAGTGCACTGATGCATCAGTGTCTACAAGAAAATAAACGCCGAAACATCAGTCTCATACGTAAAAAAAAAGGGGCTATTTCAACAGGGTTCAATCATAAATTTTTAATTTTTTTTCATCAGCGTCGGTACAAGCAAACACCCTGAAACTTTTGTAAAAAGCATAAAAATCTTGATGTAAAGCCTATGATTTATTCGTTTGCCTTTTCGTACCTATGATTTAGCTTCCCTTTTCATTCGTTTCCTTCGTTATGTTGCTTCATTTTTTACTTATGGCTGTTGTGTGCTGCTTTCATTCGTCCTTTCATTGCTGAAGTACATGCATGTCGGTGTGTTCCAAAAATAGGTTCTTATTTATCAATTCACAAAAGGTTTCATTGACTCGATGTAGTCATCTAGAAGTGGAATTGATATGTGTGGACCTAATTTTGGAATTTACAGATTGTGTTGCTTCTATAATTCGATTACTAGGTATACCAACTTCCCCCCTACACTAGGCTGGGAGTGCGGCAGCCTAGTTATAGAGTAATCTATTGCAATGGTCCCTTTGATCCATCCATGCCTGATATCATCTCTACCACCACCCTCCACCATACAAAAAAAATGCATTTCGTCCATTTCATACGATTCATCCATCCATTTCAACTGTCACATGATCGAATGTGTCAAGGAAAAGTTGCAATATTAATTGGTATAAGGCGCTTCTATACTTCCAAGGTACATCAGGTCACCAGGTTTATTGACCCTTCTAGAAATAGAATCATTCTGCGCATAGCCACACAAGGCTATTGGATTTAAGGGATTATGACAGGATTACGCTAGATATAGCGCGCGAGTACATCCCGAGCCTGGTCAGCGATAGAATTGTAATAATAGGGTGAACCAAAGGATAATGGAAAGTAAGGAATTGGAAACCAAATGAGATGAGATAAAGACCAAATGAATCAAGATAAAAAGGAGAATGGCACAGAGGAGAAATTTGGAAATGAGAAAGAAGTGTAATGGGGTCGTACTCTCACACTTCCCCCCCTCAAAGCTCGGTGGTAGACGTAACACCCTGCTTGACAAGGCATGTGCGAAGAGGACAACGAGCATTACCCATTCAAATTCAGGAACCCAACTATCCTCAGAAGAATCATAACCCTTCCAACGGAAGAGAGCTCCAGGGTGCCATTCCGACGATGGCGGTGTGCAAGCACAAACTCGACCTCGTACTCGGGTTCATCGTGGACGAGGACGGGCGGCAGCGGAGGCGGTTGGCGGATGGTGAAGACCGTGTTAGGATCACTGTATGGCTTCATAAGTTGGACATGGAAGGCGTTGTGGATCTTCCACGTAGTTGGCTAGCGTAGGCGGAAGGTAACAGGAGTGACATGTGCTTCAACGAGAAAGGGCCCGTAGAAGCGAGGTCGCAGTTTGGATGGGAGGTGGCTGATGTCGAGATTGCGGGTGTCGAGTAGCACCTGGTCTCTGACTGTAAAGGTGTGGTCATTGCGATGGCGATTGGCTGGGCGCTTTTGTTGCTGCTGAATGTCGAGGAGGCACTTATGGGTCCGATCGCAAAGCTGATGCATGGTCGTGATGAAGTCGTGTACGGGTTGGATAGTGGTTGATACTGTTGGGTCCTGTGGCATGAGCGGGTTGCGTCTGTAACAGAGGTCGCCTCCAAGACTTCCTGCAGCTTGATGTACCATTGCGTAGGGGCTTGCTTGAGGCCATAGAGTGCTTTCTTCAGCTTCCACACTCTGCCACTCCCATCATTGTACCCCTCTGGCTGCTCCATGAAGGTCTCTTCCTCCAAAACGCCGTTGAGGAAGGCCGTTACGATATCCATTTCCTTCACCAACCATCCTTTGATGGCCGACGCGGCGAAGAGGGTTCGAAGGGTTGTACCCTTCACCACAGGGGCATACACTTCATTGTAGTCCTTCTTCTCTTGCTGCTGATACCCCTTGGCTACAAATCTGCTCTTGTAGCGCTCGATGTTGCCGTCGGCATCGGTCTTGTGCTTGAAGAGCCACTTGGAAGAGATCGCCTTCCGCCCCGGAGGTAGATTCACCAAGTCAAATGTGTCGTTCTCTATGATGCTCCCCATTTCTTCATCTGAGGCCTTCTTCCACTCCTTCCCATTGGGGCCCTCCCAAGCCTCCTTGGGATTTGTAGGCTCCCCCGGCATCTCCACCGGAGAGAAGAAGGCAAAAGCGCACTCCTCGCTTTCATCTTCCGCATCATCGCCTAGCGTGAGAGCCGAACCGGTCAAGGTTGAGTTGGCTGGTCCTCCAAGCCGGTCATAGCTCAACCTATTAGGGGGCTGAGTCCTCCTTCTCCCCCTTCCTTCCTCCTCTGCTGCAGGGACTTGAATGCTCTCATGGCGTTGCGGTAAATCTGGTCGGTTCCCACGAGCACTTGTAGCACGAGGCGGAAATAACGATGCGCGCTCATCATCTTGCTGCACCTCCTCCTCCTCCTCATCCCCATTCATTTGAAGAGATTGCCTCGTGATTGTGCTGCTGCTACTCAGCTCCAAGGGCAGCTCCACATGCTCCAAGCCGGTACTCTTCACCTCTCCAAGCCGCACACCAATCTTCGCTTGATTCTCCGCCTTCCACTCCTTGTACGGTAAGTTCTCCATGAACTTGCAATCTCTGCTCACCAAGAACTTCTTGGTAAATGGGTCCCAAAGAAGCCATCCCTTGCTGTTTTGAGCCATGCCCAGGTGCACAGCCCATGTTGCCTTGGCATAAAGCTTGTTGTGCCGAAGTTTCTTAGCCACAAGTGCCATGCATATGCACCCGAACACCCGAAGCATATCCACCTTTAGCTTCCTTCCAATCCACTCCATATAGGGCACCCATTTGTCTTCTCCCACGTGATTCAAGGCTCTGTTCTTGGCCACACAAGCATGCCGCACCGCATCCGGCCAAAAATAATTGGGTAGACCGGCTTCAATGAGAAGTCCCTGAGCCGTCACCGTGAGTGTCCGATTCGCACGCTCGGCGATGCCGTTCATTGCAGGAGAGTAGGGCATGGTGAGAGAGTGCCTTATGCCCTGCTTCTTCAGCCAAGTTGAGAAATCCTTGCTCAGGAACTCTCCCCCACGGTCTGTGCGAATTGCCTTCACAAGTCGGTCTTGTTGCCGCTCCACCATCGGCAACAAATCGGTCTTCACCGTTTCAGCTACGTCACTCTTCTTGGGCAGCACATACACCCAAGTCATGCGAGTGTAGACGTCCACAATGGTGAGGAAGTACTCTGCTCCAGCAGCTCCAAGCTTCAAGGGGCCCACCACATCCATCACCACCTCATCAAGTGGTGCCTTCGCCGTTGTCTCCGAGCTATGGAACGGGTAGTGGGTGAACTTGGCTTGCATGCATGTTGGACAGCCAAGCACCTCATTGGGCTCCCCCTTGACACGTATCCCACTGACCATCTCTTGCTTAACTATCTGCTGCAAAATGGGCAATGCCACATGCCCCATTCGCCGATGCAAGGTCAGCCAATCACACTCTCCCGTAGCGGAAGTCGGGTTGGAGAAAGCGGCACTCGCAATCGTGCCCCACAAGCTCTCTCCTTTCTCCTTTGCCGCTGCTGCTTTGCTGATCTTAGGCTTCTCCTCCTCATTTCCACCATCTTTTGGCTGCTGCACCACTCTCCTTGGGTTCACACGCCTTGCTGGTCTCTCCAAGGTTGCACCCCTTCGAGTCACTCTTGGTGTCACTTTGTTTTCCGTGATCACCGCCACCAACCGCTTCACTCTTGGTGCTGATGCTTGCTGCCACTTGCCTCCCCTTAGGCATGGGGACCACTGGGATTTGCCACATCTCAATGTAGATGTCCCTGTCCTCATGAAGGTCCCAAAGCTTCCGCTCACCAAGCCTCGCAGTATATGTTTTGGAGCCCTTGGAAGATGTGTCCATGCCGGCCTTTTGCAAACGCCGAACAGAGATCAGGTTGGCTGCTAGGTTGGGCACCCAAAGCACGTTCTTGAGGCCCACCATCTTCCCATCAGCACCCTTGAACATGGCCTTGCCCATGCCTTTCACCTCTGCTCGCTGCCCCAAAGCCGGGTATCGATCTTCACTCGAGTCCTTGTCGTAGTCTCCACCTTTCATGCTTGCCGCTTCACCTCCACGGCCACCACGGCCTCCACGACCTCTGCCTCTTCCACCCCTTGCTCCTCTGCCCTCTTGGCCTTGAGAAGGGGTCCATCCATCAGGCAATCTGAAGCAATCTCTCCACATGAGGCCGGTCTTGTGGCAAAAGTGCCATTCGCCATCAAATCGACCGCGCCCACGCCCGTAGCCATTGTTGTTGTTGTTGCTGCCATAGCCTCCATTACCACGGCCTCCACTGAAATTACTGCTGCCAAATCTTCCTCCTCGCCCTCTGCCCCTTCCACGGCCGTGCCCATGGCCCATACTTGCAACTCCAGCACCATCGGGACCCTCCAATTCGCGACGGCGGAAATCTTCTTGTAAGATTTCCCGCTTCACATCTTCAAGTGAGAGACGGGGCAGATCTCGATTTAGGTTGATGATGAGCGAGGACCATGAGTCCGGAAGTAAGGCCAGCAGCTTGGTCTTCTTTTGAAGGTCACTGTAGTTCAGATCAGCTCCTTCGAGCCGTGTCAACAAGTCGAAGAATTTCTGCACTCCTTCCTCCACCGGTTCGCCTTCGTCAATTAGAAGTGCCGCCATTTGCCGGTCCAAAACCACAGCCACCGCCGCTGTTGCAGGAGCGTGTACACCCTTGAGAGCAGCCCATGCCTTTGGTCCCTTTGCTGGTTCACGCTGAAAAGGCTTGATGTGACGGATTTGGCTGCTCCCCAACGCTTGCCCAAGTAGAAGGTAGCCTTGTGCGCTCTTCCGCACCCACGGGCTCTTCTCCGGGTCGTTCTCGGGGCGCTTCTCCGTTCCTTCCATCACCTCCAGCAGATCATAGTGGTCAAAGATGTTCTCCATCTTGAAGGACCACTCAGCAAAGTTGTCATCGTTGAACTTGTCAAGGCCAAACACTCTAGGCTCATCCCTAGAGGGTCCAAGGCTAGGTTGCACCGGAGCAACGGGTGGATCTTGGTGTTGACCTTGTGCTTGGGCGGGTTCTCTGCCTCCAGCACCTCTGCCACCCCCTTCCTCAGGCCTAGGCATGGTCGAGACAGCTCCAAGGGGCTCTGATACCACTTATTATAGTCACAATAGGCTCAGATGTGCCAAAAATGAGAGATAGAGAGCACAGTCGGATTTCCGTAAGACGGCTTCAAATACTGATAACGATCTGGTCACTGTATTAAATGGTGATCTGTAAATTGGATATGGAGCACGTTGGTGTCCTCTATTAGTAGCAAGTTGAATCATGAAATTCCATGAAGATTTGACGACGCTATGGCGGTTTGACTGGCAAGAGGTATAGCAGCCACAATAGTCTTAGGAGTACAAACTTAGCAAGAAGAGTTCGAGAGTGAGACGGTTCCCAGCCTCTACATACTCCAAGATCTGAGGTCCTGATTGGTGGTACACCACCACAGAGTCCTCAACCACGAAGAGTCTCAAAACCAACCCTCCAAGGGGCTACACCAAGTGAAATGTAACACTACACGAAGTAGCGTTACTATTTTCACTATTTAATATTTATCCGCGTCCCTTGGGCTTGAAATCTTGAGCTCTTGGTTTTGGATCTGCAAGATAAATTCTTCTTGAGTTTATGGGGGCTTGCTGCACACACCTGCGACGGGATGCACATTCACACTTGACAAAATAGAAAAAAGACATGCGACACACAAACGACGACTTGACATGCGAGTTGTAAAAACTCGCTAATGTCTTGACCGACACAAACCACATTGTGATACACCATTCAAACACACACACAAGCACTGGATAGCAATGACATAGACTCACAATTCATTCCATGCCATGCATGCACACACACAAACAAGGACGACAAGCCGAGTGCAAGCCATAGGGTTGCACCAACACACACCACCACTAGTCGATCCTAACTAGCACGGCCCTAAGCCGGCCTCCCTCGTTCTCAAAGGCCAGCTTAAGGAGGATGTTCACATGGAACGCCTACCGGGGTTTCCTGACACTTTCCCTGCCAACACAGTGTGGAAGCTAAAGCGCCTAGTGTATCGCCTCAAGCAGGCTCCTCGTGAGTGGCACCATCCTTCTGCCTCAGATTCCAGTCTCTTCGTTTGTCATTCCTCTGTGCCCTATTACGTCCTCGTCTACGTCGACGACTTCATTCTAGTCGCTAGAGATCCAGCCAAGATGGCAGCTGTCGAGTCTGCTCTCAGCTCTGCCCTTCTCATGAAGGATCTTGGTGACCTCAAGAACTACCTGGGGATGGAGATCACTCGTGACTGCCAGGCTTGCATGATCACCCTCTCCTTGGAATGCTACATCGACAACCTTCTCAACCATTTCGACATGGACTCCACTAACTCTTTCTCCACTCCACTCCCACTACAGCTTCACCTCACGGCCCCTCCGATTCCTTCTCCTGATGCCTGCAAGGACCCGTACCCTGAGCTAGTCGGTTCACTCTTGTATGCCATGATGTGCACTCGACCAGACTTGGCTTACCTGGATAGTGTCCTCTCTCGGTATGTCTCCCCCGGACGCTACACTGCCTCTAATTGGTCTGCAGCCAAGAGATTCCTCCACTATCTACAAGCCACCAAGTCTCACATCCTCACTCTTGGTGGTACCTCTCCAGTCAAGCTCGAGGGATACACAAACTCCTCATGGGCCGATGACCAGACTGAAAGATGCTTCTCCCAAGGGTCCGCTTACCTTATTACTCCTTTCTGTTCAAATTCTTACACGAGGGAGGGAGGGAGGGAGGGAGGGACGGACGGACGGACGGACGAGCGGACGGAGGGACGGAGGGAGGGAGGGAGGGACGGAGGGACGGAGGGAGGGACGGAGGGACGGAGGGAGGGAGGGATGGAGGGAGGGAGGGACAGAGGGAGGGAGGGACGGACGGACGGACAGAGGGAGGTAGGGAGGCAGGGAGGCAGGTAGGCAGGAAGGCAGGTAGGCAGGGAGGCAAGGAGGGAGGGAGGGAGGCAGGCAGGAAGGTAGGGAGGCAGGGAGGGAGGGAGGGAGGTAGGGTGGGAGGGAGGGAGGGAGGGAGGAAGGGAGGGAGGGAGGGAGGGATGGAGGGATGGAGGGAGGGAGGTAGGGACGGAGGGACGGAGGGAGGGACGGAGGGACGGAGGGAGGGAGGGATGGAGGGAGGGAGGGACAGAGGGAGGGAGGGAGGGACGGACGGACGGAGGGAGGGAGGGAGGCAGGGAGGCAGGTAGGCAGGAAGGCAGGTAGGCAGGGAGGCAAGGAGGGAGGGAGGGAGGCAGGCAAGAAGGTAGGGAGGCAAGGAGGGAGGGAGGGAGGTAGGGAGGGAGGGAGGGAGGGAGGGAGGAAGGGAGGGAGGGAGGAAGGGAGGGGGGGGTGGAGGGAGGGAGGGAGGGAGGGAGAGAGGGAGGGAGGGAGGGAGGTACGGAGGGGGGAAGGGAGGGAGGGAGGCGCCGAGGCAGGGAGGCAGGGATGCAGAGAGGGACGGAGGCAGTGCGTAAAGCGGGTAAAGACCAGCTGGCAGCAACCCAGACATCCTGTGATGCATAGCATGAAGAACAGCTGAAGCCCCAGCTGTGACCGCCAACCCAGTCTGCTGACACAGCCCGCGATAGAGCTTACACGGCGAGGGGACTGATGGCGGCCTCATCCACAGGCACCCGAGGAGGTAGCGAGACATACACCAGCCCCCACAGATGCATCGCCACACTCTCCTCTGCCCGTACGCCCTGGCGGCGAGACAGAACGGGATCCCGGGCAACAGGGGGACGGCGCTCGAGGGCAACGAGCAACACCTGCAATAATTCGCTACCCACCCGAGGCAGTCCACCAGGCCCGCGAGCTGCTGCCGCCGGCTTTACTGATGTCCATCCTGGGCATGCCTCAGCCGAGGGACCTGTCCAGGCGGGAAACACCGGACATGAATCCCACGTGGCAGCCCCACTGGTCAGGTGACCAAACTGG